TGTGTAAATTGTTTATCAGGCTTTTCAATATTTTATTAAATGTAAATATTAGGTGACAGTTGAAGAGAAATATGCAAAACTGAGGAAAATACAAATTTGGAGGGTGTTTGGATGTACTTTTTTTTTTTAACATTGTGTGTAGATAGGGTAGATGCTTTTCCTTTGATCAATGTACCTCTTAGGATATGGATGTTCTCTTTTAAGTCATATTTGTGATGGAATAGATTTTACTACTACGCTGATAGCATGCTGGTGGTCAGAGATTTGAGGAGCACTTCTGATCATGTTCAGATCATCCACTCAGTAGATCCATTTGGCTCTTGGGCAATGTTAAAGGATTCTGAGCATCACTTTGGACCTTTTAGGGTAGCTTGGTTCAAAGAAATTGTGGCTACAGGGCTTAAGAACTTAGACAGTGACTGCGCCCACCTGATTTCTTGTTATTCAGCTGTTTTCCCCAGTCAGTCTGCATCAGAGTGTTATTCCACTGTATATTATCTTTGTCTAGTATATGTGTGTCAGTCTCTGTTTATCGCACATGGGAAAAGGAGAGAGCCATTCTTCTGAGAGAAAGCAACTGGAATCTTAGATTCTCAAGTCTGTGAGAGGGCTTTTCATTTACCATTATGTTTTGTGAGATTTGTCGTTTGGCCAGAAGCAGTAGTGGTAGCAATATGTGCATTCTGTGCGAGGTGCTGTGCTAAGTGTTCTTATATCCCCATCTCTCTCTCTTTTTTTTAACATCTTTATTGGGGTATAATTGCTTTACAATGGTGTGTTAGTTTCTGCTTTATAACAAAGTGAATCAGTTATACATACACATATGTTCCCATATCTCTTCCCTCTCGCGTCTCCCTCCCTCCCACCCTCTCTCTTTTTTTTTAATAAAAATAATTACATGACCGTTTTATTATTATCACCATTTTACTGATAAGAAAATTGAGGCTCAGAGTTAGATCACATGACAGTTGAGTAGTAGAATTGGGATTTGAATCCCTGGCTCAGAAATCCATGTCCTTGGGACTTCCCTGGTGGTCCAGGGGTTAAAACTCCACAGTCCTGGGGCTTCCCTGGTGGCGCAGTGGTTGAGAGTCCGCCTGCCGATGCAGGGAACACGGGTTCGTGCCCCGGTCTGGGAGGATCCCACATGCCGCAGAGCGGCTGGGCCTGTGGACCATGGCCGCTGAGCCTGCATGTCCGGAGCCTGTGCTCCGCAATGGGAGAGGCCACAACAGTGAGAGGCCTGCGTACCGCAAAAAACGAAAAAACAAACAAACAAACAAAAACTCCACACTCCCAATGCAGGGAGCCTGGGTTCAATCTGTGGTCAGGGAACTAGAACCTGCATGCTGCAACTAAGAGACCGCATGCCACAACTAAAGATTCCACATGCTGCAACTAAAAGATCCCGCGTGCTGCAACTAAGGATACTGCATGCCACATCTAAAAGATCCTGCATGCTGCAACTAAAGGTCCTGCATACCACAACTAAAGACGCTGTGCGGCCAAATAAATAAATATTTTTTTTTAAAAAAGAAAGAAATCCATGTCTTTAATGTCTCTCGGGGTGGTGATGAAATTGTAAATCTTCTAAAGCTAAACGAGAGTAAGGCATTATAGGCAAACAGGGTAAAAATTCTCATAATAATTTAATACAGGTTAACTCTGTGTTTGAATAATTAAAACAAACTTTCTCATTTGACTTGTTCCTTCCCCTCACATAGAAAATCAAATTGTGAAATGAGAAGGGGTGAGAGAGTGAATATTGTTTTCCTACTGATAATTCCATACATAGTTAAATGGATTTTTCTTGAACTTCCTTCCTTTTCCTAATAGGGAAGACTCTTCTTCAGGCATTAAGTGTCAAAATGGAAATCTTTATCCTGAATAAAATCGATTCTGAGATAGGAACCATTATGAATGACAGAATTGTTTGAAAATGGCATCTTCCATATTTCTGTTAACTTGGAAATGCACTCTTATGTCATTTGGTGATCCAAAAAACATAGTGCAACTAACATCAGATTGGTTTTTCTGGATAGGGGTAAAGAAGTTAAATATTTATTTATGTGGCTGTAATGGGTAATGCCTGTGAATTCCACTGTAACTTTGTAATTAATGTACCACTTCCTTAGAGTCTTACCAAGTATTTTCTGCCTTATGGACACGGAAGAGACAGACTCTTCTACTGTTTGCAATTACCCTCATAAAAATTTGAAAGCGAGCAAAAAAAATGGTTTTTTTCCTCTCAGGACAAGTTTGCCTTCTGCTTAACAAAATTAGGTTTGCACTTTCCCTGTGGTATGAAGACAGTGCCCTACAGGCCCCCACTTATGCCTGTGGCTGGCTCTGCAGCTCTCTGCCCCGAGGCAGAGTGCTTTCTGCTCAAAATGGCAGTGCTGGGCAGTAGCAAGAAGACCCTGAGTGGGCAAGCCCATCTTTTCTGTTCCACTCTGGATGTCAATGAAAACAGTCTCTCATCCCCTTCTGTCCTGCCTGGCGGATGGGATGGTTGTTCATTTCCACCGGAGCTTTGCCTTAAGACACACTCACAAGACATTTTCCCATAGTCTTTGTGGTCGATGCCTTAGTTAGCAACCCAGTCACTAAAAACAAAAGGAGCAGTGCTGCAAGAAAAGTGACTTCTAAGATTTGGGGCCAGGTAGTGAGATCCAGGACACTGAATTAAGGGGAAATTATTCTTTCTTTTGGAGAGTCTCATCCTGAGGAAAATTAAACAGCCCAGACAGGTCACAGGGTGAGACCAATTTCCCGGTTTGTTTATTTGAGCCCGATTGTTTTTCACCATCCAGCAGCAGGTCACAGTCCTGCTACACTGCTTCCCCAGCTCTGTGGAGAGCATTCGCTTTCACATTTGATTCTCCAGGCTTCCCTAAGGATTCTAGCCATGTTTTTTCTGGTTGGGTTGCTCTGGTATCTCTCTCAGGTCCAGGGCAGGGGGCACTGTCAGTCATCACTTTCGACTTCATCTTATGCAGGCATTTGGCTTTATGTCCCGAGTCGCCCTACAAGCAGAGAAGATGAATCATCACCCAGAGTGGTTCAATGTGTACAACAAGGTAACTGAATTGCCTGATTTTGGAATCACCATAATTATGGAGTTTAAGAAACTTCTTCCTTCCTCTCTTGCTTGTCATCCTGTGCAGCTAAGTGTCATTGTGCTTAGGAAAATATTCTCTTATTCTTTCTCTCAGAATCCCTGTGTATTACTGCAAATTAGTAAAAATATGTTCAGATCTACTCAAGACAACAGTGACTGAGTTCTTTATTTTCCTGCTTATCGTCTACAGACACTAGTATGGAAAAGTTGGGCCAAATTAGACTCCTGAATTAAACTTGAATATCTGTCATGTAGATAAATTTTTAAACCCTCTTAAGGTAAACTATTGAAAGAGATGAGAGCAAATAAGAAAGATATGGCCTTATTTAATAAATTTGCTCAAGAACTATTTACTAAATTCTCTATTCTCAGTGGGAACTGACCTTCTTAAGAGAAAGAGCAGACTGAAAAGACTTCATCAAGGAGTTTTAAGGGGGCACAGTGAGAAGAATAACACTTGCCCAAAAAGTGTCTTTGCCTTGGTGATCATGCCATGTGGAATTTCTTATCATCTAGATTTCTGTGAGGTTTCTATTATCTCTTTGAAAGTCCTCTTTGAAAAAAGAAAATTTCACATTTTTGTGATTTAATTGCAGTAATTCAGAGCATACAGGTACCAGCATAAACTTTTATTTCCTAGTTGCCTCTCTTTGCCCATAATTTTGTTTTTGCTTTTTAATTGATTTGTCAAGAGGCAGCAGTCTGTTCCTCCACCCCACCCCCCATTCCCTAATTTGGAAATGGGCTTTTTTTTAACATGCTAAGATATTACATTTGATAGCTTAGTTTTTCTCAATGGCCTGAAAATAGTTGGTGTAATTAAAGTAATGGGAGTTAAAGTGGTACCTCAGTCTCTCTCTCTCTCTCTCTCTCTCTCTCTTTTTTTTTCCCCCCCAAAGAGTCAAGATTTGCGATTCTGGTAGCTCATTTGCCCTTCTTATGAGAGAACCTTTTTATCCCTAGGAGGCTGCTGGGCCCAGCCTGGAGTTTACTGGGTTTTGGAAATGCATTGCTTATTCATAATGTAGTATTTTCTAAATCATTTAATCTCCTCAATTCTCAAAGATAAATATTGAGTAACAGATTGATTTCTGAACTGCCAAAGGAGAGCATCATGAATTGCAACTCAGGGTTTTCAAAGCTGCTTCTCTCTTTCTTAGGTTCAGATAACTCTCACATCACATGACTGTGGAGGACTGACCAAAAGAGATGTGAAACTGGCCAAGTTTATTGAAAAAGCAGCTGCTTCTGTGTGATTTCTTCCAAAACGCATGTAAAATCTTATATACACATCTAGCTGCAATGTATATTGAAGGCAATTTGTCAACACATGAACAAATTAAGCCGTAAATTTAGTTCACCATTTGAATGATCTCATTTTGTAAAATCAGTGCTTAAATAAAAATGATTTAAACTTGAGCCTGAGGTATTTTTCATTATATCTAATCACATATATAAGGTAAATCCACCCAGGTAATTCTATTAATAATATTAAAAAAGAGAAATAACATTTTTAAAGACCAGAAATGGGTATGGGGGAGCATTCACACATTTTTATAACCCAGAAATTCAAGTGATTATGGTGACTTTACAAATGCATTGTGTTGGAGAGCAATTGTAAGGTAGAAAAAGAATGATGAACTCTATAGGTAAAGGGTTTAATTGTATGCAACGATTCTTATGATGCTAAAGTTGATTTGGATTTTAGCTGTTGTTACTACTTAAGTAGTTACTTAATTTACAGAGATCTCAAAAATTGGATGAGCTGTCTCGTGTTTTATCCTTCCTTTTCAGACAGGGAGAAAGAAGAAGACAAGTGTCTTGTGCAAGGCTTCCAGCAAGGTGAGGCAATAAAAGGATTCACTGTCACAGTGACCAACTTGCCAGGTCATTATTTGACATACTGAGGGAAGGAGGAACCAAGGGTCACTTTTTCCCATCATTTGCGTGTTGTGACCCCTGAACTGAGGGTATGTAGCCACTGAGCTAGAAGCTACTTGGGTATTATCCAGTAATGAGCTCTGTTTACTCCATGTGTCACTGACATGAGTAAAATGGAATATAAAGTAAGCTATTATTTAAAAATTGCAGTAACTGTTCTTTGAGGGAACTCAGGAATGTAGTTATTAATGAGATTAAAAGGTAGATTAAAAGAATGTGTATGTATCTATCCAAGGAACATGCCTTATAGTAGTAGGATTTAACAAGAATCATCTTTATACTCTGCCTTACATCAGAGGCCAGAAAAATCACTCTGTGTTACAATAAGCAAAGCTTCTCATTCCCCCCACTCCCCACCAACCCTGGCCCCTAGTCTGAGAAGCCATATGGCAATATCATAAGGAGGCCGAGCTCTCTGAAGTCAGTTTTCAGCTGGTTCTGTTGGCCTGGCAGGTATAGTCATTTTGCCCTGCGGGTGTGGAGTATACACGGCGGGTGGGGGAAAGAGAGAGAAGAGTCACCCCAGACTCTGTGGCTGCTGGGAGATCCAGAGCCTGGACACTAGAACTTGTACTTCTTTGAAATTTTTAGCAGGAAAAGGCAGGGACTTCCCTGGTGGCACAGTGGTTAAGAATCTACCTGCCGGGCTTCCCTGGTGGCGCAGTGGTTGAGAGTCCGCCTGCCGATGCAGGGGACGCGGGTTCGTGCCCCGGTCCGGGAAGATCCCACATGCCGCGTAGCAGCTGGGCCCGTGAGCCATGGCCGCTGAGGCTGCGCGTCCGGAGCCTGCGCTCCGCAACGGGAGAGGCCACAACAGTGAGAACCCCGCGTACCGCAAAAAAAACAAAACAAAACAAAACTTATAAGGTTGAATTGAAATTCTTTTTTTGGACAACCAGCTGTCACCAGGCTCGTTAGGCTTGTTTCTTCTTCTTATCAAAAAAAAAAAAAAAAAAAAAAGGTGAAGGGGACCTTCCTTGGTGGCGCTTTGGAAAAGAATCTCCCTGCCAATGCAGGGGACATTGGTTCGATCCCTGGTCCGGGAAGATCCCACATGCCGCGGAGCAACTAAGCCCGTGCACCACAACTACTGAGCCTGTGCTCTAGAGCCCGCGTGCTGCAACTACTGAGCCCATGTGCTGCAACTACTGAAGCCCACGTGACTAGAGCCTGTGCTCTGCAACGGGAAGGCCATCGCAATGAGAAGCCCGTGCACTGCAACGAAGAGTCGCCCCTGCTCACTGCAACTAGAGAAAGCCCATGCACAACAATGAAGACCCAACGCAGCCAAAAGTAAATAAGTAAATTAATTAATTAATTAAATAAATTTTTTTTTAAAAAGAGGAAGAAGCAAAGCCATGTGTTTTTATAAACTTTTCTCCATATTATAGATTTGGGAGCTTTTATACATTTTATTACCAAAGATTTCTAGCTCAGGGCTTCAAGGTTTTCTACATGAATTTTTAAACATGAAAAAGTGTAGACATATTTTAAAATAGAGTAAAATAGGGCATTCAACGCTTATGTACTGATGACCCAGATTTAACAGTTACCAAGATCTTGCCAGTTACATCATATAATCTCCCATTTCCTTTTTCTTTGCTAAAGTATTTAAAAGCAAATCCCAGATAGCATGTCATTTTGCCCCTACATCCTCCAGTAAACATCTCTAGAAAATATGGTCATTTTCTTGTAGAAACCAAAATGCCATTATCACACCAAACAAAATAAACTATGATTTCTTGGTATCACCTAATACCAAATCAGATTGTTCTGAAGGTCAGGAATGTCTTTGGACAGTAATTTTGTTCTAATCAGTGATCCACATGAAGTCCACCCATCACATCTGGTTGTTGTGTCTCTTTAAGCTTTCAGTCTAGAGCGAGGAAGCCTCCTGCCCTCATTCCCTCTTTCTCTCCATATCAGTGACTTACTGTAAAAACCGAGTCCTGTAGAATGTTCCACCTTCTGGATTTGTTTGTTTGCTCCCTTGTGGTGTCACTTAAATTGTTTCATTGTACCTTGAATGGAAACCTTTCCCTCTATTTTGAATGTAAGTCTGAGAGGCTTAGAAACTATTAACCTGTACTGTGTATGGCACCGTGGAGAGAGCAGGGTACAGCTAATAATTGCAGTTGTCAGGACCTGAGAATGTAGCTACTAATTAGCATCTATGTGAGGATTTGACATAAGGTCCATGTTAAGGGGTGTCGCATCTGCTGGAACTCATGAACTTTAGAGAATCAAAGATCCCGTATCAGAGGTCTGTGGTAATACTCCTTGTGGTAAATTCCAACAGAACGAATCCCCAGACTTGCTCTAAGTAACTGACATTTCAACTTAAAAGAGACATTGCCAAAGTTGGAGGCCCCAACTTTCCTTCTGTTCCAAATCTTTGTGATGACAGTGGTTTCTCTGATGTGGCAAGCTTTGGTTTCCCTCCATTTTCCTTTTAAATGATCACTGGAGTAGAGGGGGTTTAAATAGCTATGACCTATGACCCTTTGCATGACCTCCATAGATAATAAATCAGGGCAGCATGTTTGACAGTGTCCTTTTCTAAAATGAAGTTAGTGAAAGTTCTGAAAATTGTGGTTGCTCTCTGACGTTGATAGAATTAAGAAATCTTTAGATAAATAGAATAAGCATGATTCTTTATTTTTTTGCTTGACACAAAAAGCAGCAGCGTGTATGTTGCATATGGACACACACCTGACCTTAGGCAGTGTGCTGAGGTATTGGACTACTAGTGTTAATGTGGAGCAGTCTGTTTACGTTCTAATCCAGAGTTTAAAAATACACTAGTTGAACTCTATAACTTTCAGTTTTGTAAAATTTCTGCAAAACAGCAAGAGGTGTAATAGGGTTTGGATATAATATGTGAACTTTGTGTTTCAATTCTTTTTTTTTTTTTTTTTTCCTTGCGTTATGCGGGCCTCTCACTGTTGTGGCCTCTCCCATTTGCGGAGCACAGGCTCCGGACGCGCAGGCTCAGTGGCCATGGCTCACGGGCCCAGCCGCTCCGCGGCATGTGGGATCTTCCCGAAACGGGGCACGAACCCGCGTCTCCTGCATCGGCAGGCGGACTCTCAAGCACTGCGCCACCAGGGAAGCCCTGTGTTTCAATTCTAGTTACATGTAACTAGGAATGACTCTTGGTCAGAAGACTTGAGTCACCAAGCTGCCGTGCCTACTGACTGTGTGCGGCGGCTAAGGTGATGCTGCCCAGTCAGGGAGAGTTTAAGTTGCTGCTAAAAGGGCAGAAGAGGTGGCCCTTTAGCTTCTCATCCAGGGTGCCTGTCCCGCCCACCTATCCACGAGAAGGTAGAGGTGATTTCAGTAGGCCTGGATAAGCTGGTTACCTCTGAGTCCACTCAGCAGCTGGAGTTCCAGTCCCAGACTAGATTTCTTCATCAGTGACCTCAGAAAACACATTCAGGGGCTTCCCTGGTGGCGCAGTGGTTAAGAATCTGCCTGCCAATGCAGGGCACACGGGTTTGAGCCCTGGTCTGGGAAGATCCCACGTGCTGCAGAGCAGCTAAGCCCGTGCACCACAACTACTGAGCCTGTGCTCTAGAGCCTGTGAGCCACAACTACTGAGCCCATGAGCTACAACTACTGAGCCCGGTGCCACAACTACTGAAGCCCGCACACCTAGAGCCCGTGCTCCGCAACAAGAGAAGCCACTGCAATGAGAAGCCTGCGCATTGCAACGAAGAGTAGCCCCTGCTCGCCACAACTAGAGAAAGCCCGCCTGCATCAACGAAGACCCAACGCAGCCAAAAATAAACAAACAAACAAACAAATAAAAAGAAAACACATTCAGTTGTGGTTGGCTGTGCTGATATTGTACACCAAGAACAGCTGGTCTCTTCTTGACTGCTTCCAGCTAGCCATCTTTCCTCACCCCTCCAAGCATTGTGAAAGAATTTTTTACATTCTTAATTTCTTCTTCATTTCTCCCCAGAAGTGTGCTTTGGAGCTTAAGGAGCGGAAGCATAGTAGTGTGTCCTTGGGATTCCTGGAAATAGAATCCCACTAGGCTCAGCTACTTGAGTGAGCGTAAGGATCCCTGAGGTACATTCACATAGCACAGATTTACCGAGGGCCTCCTATATGGCCTGGTGGGATTAGGCACATTGATGAATTGGGGCGGGTGGAAACAGAGATGGAGAACTGATTCAGGCTCTCTCTGAGCGGCTGCTCCAGGACGCCACTGTCAGGGTGTGGGCAGGAGCCCAGAAGGCGTCAGGGGGCATATGACCAAAGGAGGCAGTAGGAGGAGCTTGATCCCTGAGGGAGAGAATATAGACTAAGACAGTGAGGCCAAGGTTTGAAGCCTGGGTACGTTAATCAGAGTGTTTCTTAAAGCTTTGCTGTTGATGATTTTAAGTGGAGAGATTGGTAAGATGTTATTTCCCAGTTCAGTATACCGCTTGCCTACAAGAGTATTTTTCTTTGTGAGATGGTCGTGTTCACTTGTTTCAGAATGCCTGGGGCAGTGGAGGTGGTGACGTGGTCACCTCCTTTTATTATGGCCCAAGGAATTAAGGTTCCAGGAATTTGACCAATTTGGCCAACTAAACTTTTTTTTTTTTTTTCTTTGCGGTACGCGGGCCTCTCCTGTTGCGGAGAACAGGCTCCGGACGCGCAGGCGCAGCGGCCATGGCTCACGGGCCCAGCCGCTCCGCGGCACGTGGGATCCTCCCGGACCGGGGCACGACCCCGCGTCCCCTGCCTCGGCAGGCGGACTCTCAACCACTGCGCCACCGGGGAAGCCCCCCAACTAAACATTTAATTCAACACAGGGCTACCCAGAAGCCTCTGTCTTGATTTGCCTTGGAAGCCAAAGGGGCTAGGAGAAGGAGAACGAGAGAATATATTAATCCCAAGAATTGAACAGAGCAAAAATCCCTATTGCTCTTGTACCCAAAACATCTCTACCCCAAGGCTCGTCCCTTACACTCTCTTTAGGTGGTTCGTATGTGCACATTCTGTGTCCCCAATTAGCCAGTGCTGGGCATGGATAACTTCTTTTTTTGTTTTTTTTTTGTGGTGCGCGGGCCTCTCACTGCTGTGGCCTCTCCCATTGCGGAGCACAGGCTCCAGACGCGCAGGCGCAGCGGCCACGGCTCACGGGCCCAGCTGCTCCGCGGCATGTGGGATCTTCCCGGACCGGGGCACGAACCCGCGTCCCCTGCATCGGCAGGCGGACTCTCAACCACTGTGCCACCAGGGAAGCCCCAGGCATGGATAACTTCTGTTCCTCCTGTTTCTTGGGTTCTAGCCCCAAAGCCATCAAAATCTTTCCTTGTCCTTCCAGGTGTCTCCAGTGCTGTGCCCTGGCTGTGTGCTCTTGCTCTTAGAAGCCCAGAGAATTTTGCTTTCCCCTCTTCTATGACCCTTAACCTATTCTAACACATTATTAAGGGCCTCTGTCAGTTGGGGGCACTTCCTGAAGGAGGGGCTTTTGTCTGGCCTGTCTCTCAGCTTTAGCCCGGAGCATCACAATTGCAGGGTGCTTGTGACTCTTTTGCTGAACAGAGGTGCTCGGTCTCCTTGGGAAGAGAGGATCTGTGGGTAGACCAATGGGGAGCTCTCCCCTCCAGGGGCCTGCCGGCTAGTAACATACTGGAATGTCCAAGAGTGACTTCATAAAGCAACAATGCCCTCTGTGGACACTCCTCTGAGGCCTCTTGGAATCTAGATGCTGAGGAGATTCCTAAGCAGAGATTTTCTGTTGGATGGTAAAAGCAAGGAATAAAAATTGAAAATTTGGAAAATGTCTCAACACTTTTATCACCAGAACCACACAAGAGTCATTTCTAGCTCACTGTTTGAGAATGTGTCGCTGCTGTTCTATGAGACGTTATGGAAATTTCAGTAAATACTCTTTATTTCTCTTTCTTGTTAAGAAGTGTGCATATGGCAGTGTTGGGTCTCGTAGCCTCTTCCCACAGGCACCCATCCACTTCCCAGACTGAGGGGCTCGTCCTGGATAATCTGATTTCTCCAACTGGTGAGGCTGGTGAAGTCTCAGCCAAACAGTTGTTTCCTCGGCTTTCATATCACAATTGGCTGTTAATCAAACATTCAGTCACACTCTTATTTGACCTGTAGACTGAATGACTAGTTTGACTCCATTTTGTCCTGTTTTATTCCCTACTATGTTAGATAATTTGAAGCCTTTTTTTTGGGTAATAGACCTGATTTCAAATCAGATAATGAAAATTATATATCTTGTTTTTAATAGGTTATAAAAGTATATAAATCTATATTTTTTTACTGTGTGAGACTGGGTTCATTTGTTACATATAATGGGGAAAAAGTAATACATACTCTCTGAGAAAAATTGGAGAGCACAGATAAACATAAATAAACAGGAAAAAGAATTACCTATAACCTCACTATCCGTAGGCAGACAATATCAACATTTTGGCATACTTCGTGCCGAATTTTTTTCTCCCTGTTTTGCACAGTTGAGATAATTTTGAGTAGAGAATTTTTATCTTGCTTTGTTTCTGTTTTGCTATCCAGTGGCTCATAAACGTTTTTCTAAATCATGAAAAATGCATAGACATGTTGTAGCGTCTGTATAATATTCCATGAAATGGATATGCCATGATTTACTTAACCTGTCTTCTTTTGGTTAGACTTTTAAATTGTTTCCAAATTCTCACAGCAAATATTGCTGGGATAAACATGTTTGGCTAAAGTCACTGTTTGCATTTCAGATTGTATTCTCTTGGGGTAGATTCCTTGGGTCTGAGGATACAAACAGAACTAAGGCTTTTCAGAAAAGTTGGTCAATTTACATTCCCCTGGCAGTTTATGAGACTGCTCCGTTGCACTACACTCTTGCCAGCACTAAATGTTATCACATTTAAGCCTTTGCTAATTTTATAAGCAAAATTACTGGTTTTACTTAATTTGTACCTCCCCGATTAGTAGTGCTACCGAACATTTTGGAGGGAACTTCATGCCATTGTATTTGTTTAATGAGTTGACTGTGTGTTTGCCCATTTTTTCTTAAGGTGGTCAGTTTTTTATAATTGATTTGTAAGCACTTGTATGGCTGATTATTTGATTAGCAGTTTTCCCTACTAGACTGACAATATTTAGTTTTGCTTACCTATATCCCAAGTGCCTACTGTATTGCCTGGCATGTAGTAGTCATTCAGTAAAAACTTGTTGAATGAATAAATGAGTGAGTTGAACAGTAGTTACTTAATAAAAATTTGTTGAACGAGTAAATGAAGATGGTGCTTTGTCTTGCTTGAGGCGGAGTGGTAACCATTCTTTTTCACAGGTCTAGAGAGGAGGAACTGAGCAACTGAGTGGGGACAGACCCACCCAGTAATCCTCATACATATTTCAGTGGTCATTAAGTCAGCATTCCATTGCAATTTTAAAGTATATGTAGATTTATATTCACAGAAGGGGGAAAGCAGACCCTCGTCCCTAAAAAAACGTGTGCATTGTGCATTACCTTACAACAGAGCTATAAGATAATCATACCTCTTATTCAAATTTTTGACAGGAGGAAAGATACTCAGTGTCAGGCATTTGTGAAGAGAGTTATAATGAGTCGTCTCTTTAAGATAATTATGATCAGCACCGTCTCAACGAATGCCTTTTTTATGGTCTTGTGGACTGATTATAAAACAAGATACAACTTGTTCAGACTTTTTGAGGTAAGCAGACAAAATGGGTCCATTTTCTCCTGTTTTACCTGTTTTATTTCTGAAAATGTTATAAGATTTTTAAGGCATTTTGTTCAAAAAACTTTTCTGTAGAAAGATTCTAAGGGCTATGAAAATATACTCTAATATCTGAGAAGATGGTGGCAGCAGTAGTAGCAGTGACATGGTTTTTTAATCTCCCTGAATCCCCTCTTAAAAAAATAGAGCAGCTAGATAGCAAAACCAAAAACCCATGGACAGGATTTATATCAAAACTAGTTAACAAGAGATCCTTACCAGGAGCCACACTGCATAGTATTAGCATCTGTAGGAGAGGAAGCAGAGGGAAGTCAGTTAAGTATTCACTGGAAAGTATGATGGGCTGATGTGAGAACAGCAGTTGATATTAGGAAGGGTGTTACCTAATCAAATACTGGGATAGCACAAGAGGTTCCCGAAATTTATGAAGGGGCTAGAACAGTCCAGACCCTATAAACTTTTAAAACTGACTCTCCACAGCTCCTTTCAAGGACAGTGCTCCACACTCAGGAGAAGTATTGGGAGTGGAATGAAAATTGAACAGGTTAGAGACCCAAAGATGAAGGAAGAGAGGTTCAGATAAAATTGGAAGAGGGGAACAGCACCAGGAAACCTTAAAAATCAAGCAACCACATTTTTTTTTTTTTTTTAACATCTTTATTGGGGTATAATTGCTTTACAATGGTGTGTTAGTTTCTGCTTTATAACAGAGTGAGTCAGTTATACATATATATATGTTCCCATATCTCTTCCCTCTTTGTCTCCCTCCCTCCCCAGAGGTTGTTGGGAAGGTTGTTAAAACCCAAATTTGCAACTGGAATGCTTGCTGAAAGCACCTGGTTACCTCAGCAGTCAATATAAATTACAGAGGCTTTCGTCCTTATCCCCTCCTGGGGCACGTGGAGCACAGCCCTAAGGGAACTCCTATTACTCTTTTTTCCAGTGCTCCAGGAGACGTGCACATCTGTTGTTGACACATGTGGAACCTCAGCTCTCCCACCACCTCTCACACTGTTGATGTGATCATGATATTTTCAAACCTAAGGAAGGACCTCCAGGCAGAAGGAAGACACACCTGACACAATTAAAACCAAAACAGTTGGCACACTGGGATACAGATGAGGAATTTACTGCCTTTCTCTGTACACTCCGAGCTGCTGGATGTTAGTGAAGGGTTAAGCTAAGGACAAAATTAAAGAATTGTATCTGTTTTCTTATTACATGAAGAGGTTGCATCACTTGGTTTTTCCTTAAAATCTCTGACCATAAAATTGTGACCCTTTCCTAATTTACCTGGGCTACTTCAAGTTTACTTTGGGGAACTCCTTTCCACAGACAGATTGACATTGCCTTTTAGGATCTTGCAATGCATGCTGGTTAAGAATCTTAGCCTGGGAACCACCCGGACCTGGGTCTGATACTTGACTCACCGCCTACTTACTAGCTGGGTGACCTCAGGCAAGTAGCTTCCCCTCGGCAAGCCCATCTCCTTATCTGTAAAGCAGGTAGGACACCCCACTGCCAGCCTGGGAGTATTCTTGTGAGGATTCAGAGAGACCTTGGTATCAAGTCTTCCTCTCGGTGACCGACGCATAGTTAAGTACTCAATAGTTTCTTTGTTTTTACCATTGTAATTGTTTTACAAAAGAGAGTCGAACAGATAAAATGCACAAGCTGACCTGTAACATAATTGAAAAACTTAAGGCAATGCACATGTATTTTGGCAGTTTAGAATGTGATAACTGGACAAACGTTTCTTCCTTGTTGAGTGCTCAGCAAAGTCTGCATACTGTGCTATTAGAAATGCCTGTTATAAGGGGAACAGACCTCCACCAGGTTCATAGTATCATTTGAATTTGAAGGCATTCCTTTCTCACAAAAGGAATTGCCATTTGAAAGGACAAGTCCCTATGAGGAGTAGAACAGACAGCAGAAGGTCTTGGCTTTTAGCTGCCTGAGCCATCTCAAATAATTCATCCAGTCTTCTTGACCTCTGCTTCAACCTCTCTGTCCAGGAAAGCAACAGGTATATTGCATGCAAGGAGGTTACTGATTCCTTCAAGTTTGATTTTGGGGTCAGATAGAACTAGCTTCAAATTCTAGCTGCACAGCATGCAAGCTGTGTGGCTAATGATTTTGAGCCCTAGTTTATGCCTCTGGGAGGAGATTAATGGGGTACCTTCCTGATAGGTTTGCTGGGAGGATTAAAAGAGAGCAAATTGCCCAAGCTTTGCAAATGGCAGCTAATAAAATAATGAAAACTTTTTGCTTTCAGAACTCTATCTTAAATTGAGGACTCCAAAGAGCTTCTGTGACTATTATTAATTTTTAATTAAAAGTAAGTTAAAATTTATTTTATTACTATGAGAAACAAAATGAGAAACTTTAAAAATATTTGTGTATTAATTTAAAAATCACAGCAAACTCTTAATATGCTAACATAAAAATACATTTTTAATAAAAAGTAACTTTTTTTAAAAAAAGGAACAAAAGAGAAGACTTCATTAGTTTTTTTTTTTCAAGTCCCTTTAATGTCTTAGTAGGAAGGAGTGGAATTCTCATATCTGCTTCCACTAAAATCTGTTGCAGTATCACACATTACTTAGCTTCTGGAAAACTCCACTTTACACCCTAGATGGAATGAAAGCAGAGAAAAGCAAATAATACCTTGGCATTATAAAAATAGTTTTGACCTCATGGACTCCCTGAAAGGGACTCAGGGACCCCCCACTCTTTGAAAACAACCGACTTGGGACAACTGTCTTTCAAACTCTCAAACTGTAGATGATCCAAAGGCTTATGTAGAAAAAGAATGTTACAATGCATAAGAGAAAGAGAAACATCAAGGCCAAGAATATAGAATATCTGAGTCCCACTGAAGAATTTACTTTTAGAAATAAGCTTGTACTCAAGTACGGGGCAGGAGAACAGCAGGAGCCCGAACATATTTACAGAATCAGGCAAGTATCAGGCAAATATATTCTCCAAACAGACTGGACAAACTTGTGATGCCAGTAATCCAGACATCACAGATCACTGCTTCTATGTCTCTTTCTCCGTTCTCCACCACTCCACACCAGCACTGCAGGAAAATACCCATTTGCTCTCTGGATTATCGAATGTTGTAGTTATACCCCACCAGGGCATGGTGACTCAAACCCAGAAAAACTCATGGGTTTTTCAAACACACAGACCTGGGTTCAAAGGCTCGAATTGCCACTTAAGAGCTATGTAGTCTTGGAAAAGTTACTTAAATTTACTGAATCTCATGTATATGATGGGGATTGTGATGGACTAAAAATGACCATATTCTCTGCAACTCCTCCCATCAAAAGTGTGGAATGCAATGGAATACTACTCAGCCATAAAAAAGAAACCTTACCATTTGCAATAACATGGATGAATCTAGAGGGCATTATACTAAATAAGTCAGACAAAGACAAATACCACATGTGATCTCACTTATATGCAGAATCTAAAAAACTAAACAAAATGAAAACAGACTCATAGATACAGAGAATAAATGGATGGCTGCCAGAGGGGAGGGTGGGTGAAATAGCTGAAGAGGATTAAGAGGTATAAACCTCCAGTTATAAAATAAATAAGCCTGAGGATGGAATGTATAGCACAATAATGGTCAATAATACTGTCATAACTTTGTATGTGGACAGATGGTTACTAGATTTCTCGTGTGATCATTTCATAATGTATGCAAGTCAAATCTCTATGTAGTACACATGAAACTAACATAATATTGTATGTCCACTATCTTTCAATAAGATTTTTTTTAATTAATTAAATTTATTTAACACACATAGAGCTAATTCAAGTAATCTCCTTCTTGAGTGAGCTTTGGAGTTTTTGTCTTCAAGGAATTTGCCCATTTCAAGAAAGTAATCAAATTTTTTAGCAAAGTTGTTTATTATATTCTCTTAATCCTTCTAATGATGTAGATCTCTAGTGATATTTTTTCACTCCTTACACATAATGTATATATTCTACCTTTTTTTTGAATTTTTGAATTTTATTTATTTTTTTATACAGCAAATTCTTATTACTTATTCATTTTATACATATTAGTGTATATACGTCAGTCCCAATCTCCCAATTCATCAATAATGAATCTTTCAATAAGATTTTTTGAAAGTTGAAGTCTATTTTCTCATGTCTTGAATTGGGCTGGCGCTGAGTCTGCATCACTCTATGTGGTCGAAGCGGCAATACTTAACTTTTGAGCATGGTTTCAAGAGGCCCTGCAGCTTCCACACTTACCCTGTGGAACCCTGAGGCCCCCGTGCTGTGATGAAAGATTCCATGGAGGAAGAGGGCCAGCCATCTCTGGTGAGGCCCCAGACATCTTATCCCATCCAGCCTCAGCCAAGCAGCCATATGGAGAGTTCCGGTGAAAACAGCAGAACCACCACCCATTCAGCCCACAGAACTGTGAGAAATGATCATTCTGTTTTAGGCTACTAAATAGATGGGTAGTTTCTAGGGTGACCAATTTGTCCCAGTTTGCCTGGGACTTGCCCACTTTTAGCTGCCAGTCCCACATCCCAAGAAACCCCTCAGCCCTAGTTGGTCACCTATTTGTAGCACAATTGCAAATACCTTACACAGGAATAAGAGCGTTCAACTCAGTGTTTGAGAGAATTAAGTGAAATGATGAGGTAAAGGCAAAATATAGACAGAGCCCATAAAATGAAAGGTTTTGTTTTTCTTTTCAATTTATAAAATAACTTTATAATAATTTATAATTACTCTATCTTTAATAAAATAATATTTCCATAGCTAATTAAAATTTGATCTTTTATCTTTGTCTATAACTGAACTTCTCATTCAGGGCCCTAATTGCTTTTTTTCTTTTTTTAAATTAGTTTATTTATTTTTGGCTGCGTTGGGTCTTCGTTGCTGCACGCGGCTTTCTCTAGTTGCGGCGAGCGGCGGCTACTCTTCGTTGCTATGCGCGGGCT